TCCCGGCCACCGCAGCCTCGACCTGCTGGGCTCCGGAGATCCTTCCGCCTCAGCCTTACAAGTAGCTGGAATTACAGGCATGCGCTACGATGCCAGGCTGATTTTTTGATTTATTGTAGAGATGAGGTCTCGCTGCTCAGGTGGGTCTCGAACCCGCGGGCTCAGGCAATCCACTCACCTCAGCCTCCCAAAGGCGCGGGATTACAGGCTGAGCCACCGAACTTAAAGAAAAGCATGATCTGGCCAGAGGTCAGAGAGCAGCATGATCAGGCCAGAGCTTAACAAAAGCATGGCAGTTGCTGTTTGAGGTTGAATGCTTTTTTTGTTTGTTTGTTTTGAGTCGGAGTCTTACTCTGTCGTCCAGACTGGAGTGCAGTGGCCGCTCCCAGCCACCACAGCTTCGACCTGCTGGGCTCCGGCGATACTTCCGCCTCAGCCTTCCAAGTAGCTGGAACTACAGGCACACGCTACCACACCTGGCTAATTCTTTAATTTATTGTAGAGATGAGGTCTTGCTGCCCAGGTGGGTCTCGAACCCTTGGGCTCAGGCAATCCACGCACCTCAGCCTCCCAAAGGTACAGGATTACAGGCTGAGCCACCGAGCCCGGTTGGTTGAATGCTTTTTAAACCCTTCCTTTGATGGGAGCAGGTGGTTAAGGTGATTGAGTGGCAGTCTGTTTCAAGTCATCACCAGGGGGCAGGTAAGCACAGGTACTGATGTCACAGTAATGGACGGCAGGCAAATGGGCGGTTTAGTCACATAACTATTGCCATAGTGATAAAATCTGTTTGTGTCATATAAGTCTTGAAGGGTTGATTACAATAGATTAGGTTAGTTTGGTTTTTATGGCTGGAAGACAAATATTTGCAATAGAAAATTAACACAAAACAAGTTGGGGAGGAGTTGTAAACAACTATCAATAGTTACCTCCAGGAAACTGGTTCTATCCTTGGCTAGTGATTAAGGGGCAAGCTAGGTAATTTGCTAAGAAAGCATGACAGAGGTAAGAAGTGTCAAAATGGCTGCACTTTCACTAAGATTATTTCTTTTATTTTCTTTTTTGAGTTGGAGTCTCACTCTGTCACCCAGACTGGAGTGCAGTGGCCGCTCCCAGCCACCGCAGCCT